AGGAATTTTTAAAAAAAATTATTATATTTTAAGATTTTCTATAAAGTTTTACATTAACTTGTGAAAATATTGTTATATTTTAAGACTTTCTATAAGGTTTTAGATAGATTTATAAAATATATTGGGTCTTTAACTTGGTCCATTTAAAAAGGCACTAGAACATAAAACTAAACTAAAGGCTAAAAATTAAATTTGAGCCCTAAATTTTTGGGGTTATAGGTGACTATTTTATTTTTTTTATTTTATTTTTTTTGGGAGGGGGAAGGGGAGGGGGGAAAAGAGCTTGAACTTTTAACTTTAAAAAGGCAAAGTTTTCACAAGATAAAAAATATCATTAGACCAAAGGTCTGACTATTTTAATGGTCCAATTTAGGGCCCCTATGCAACTATTTTAGTGTTTGGGTCTTGTTGTGTCTGCTCTCATTCAAAGGATTAAAGTGTCTGTACATCTCGCAATAATTATAATCTTTGCTCTGCCTCAGTGTCAAATCTTCATCTATGAAAGTGATTAAGTGACATCGGCAAATTTATTATTAGATGATAAACAAAGATTAAAGTTAACATATGTGTTATTTTATATTTTATACATTTTTTTAATTGGTCAAAAATAATATGTTGACTGCTACAAGATATTTTCATAGTAAAGATGTCCAATATTAAAATATGATGTCATATAATTTTTGTTTTCTTGTAATTTAGACATCTAATATATATTAAATATTGCATGTGTTATTTAATATCTATTCTATCTGTGTGTAACTGTTCAATTGTATAATTCATAAAAATTATAAATATACATAGACCATCATGACTAAATACACATTTTTAGCAAATAGATCTGTACATATGTTTGTCTCTCTCATCCCTTACTTGACCCGTAATTTTTAGAATACAATCTATTGGTTCATTACTATTTTTATTTTCTTCTAATTTGTTTGAATGTTCTTCATAAAAATTGTGATATTACATGATCGACTATCAGTATAAATTCATAATTCCTTGTTATGTTATTATTAAATTATTTTATTATTTTTAAATTTTTTGTATGATCCTTAACTTCTTTATATATACAACGTTCATCTATTATTTTGTTGTATTTTATTTTCTCTGATAACAACTTTATTGAAAATTTATTTTGATATTAATTAGTTTTTATTGGATCATTTATACGAATGAACAATTTAATTAGTTGATATTTTTTCTTTAAATGAGAACAAAATTGAGTTTGAGAGAAATAAAAAAATGTGTTTGATTTATTTTTATTTGTTAAAGAGAGAGAAATGCTTATTATACTTTTTTTTTTTATCAAAATGCTAGTCTTTTTTGGTCCTTAATAAATGTGTATATGTTAGATGAACTATACTTTTGAACCTAAATTTTAAATTTTATTTTGTTGACTTAATCTCTTAACAATTTTTTTGTTAAGCTAAATTATAATAAATTTTAATCTTTGATTTATATGTAATTATTAAATTTTAAAATTTAGGGCCTTTTTTATATGTGGGATTTAAAGCCTATGTTTTTTTAGCTCTACCGTTGAGTGGGCCATGGTTGCTAATAGAAGAGTTTAATTGCTAAAATTTTAGTGTTTAGGGATTCAATTGATAAAAAGATTAGTTCAAGAGATAAATTGCTAAAATTTTAGAGTTTGGAAATTTAATTGATACAAAAATTAGTTCAAATGTTTAATTGACCCGGGAGTTATAATTTAAAAATCGTATGTATAACTTACTCGATCAATGAAAGTTTGACAGGGTAATTCGGTAATACTACGCAAGTTCTGTGGTACTTAAATAGATGGAATAAAGGTCAAGCTCTTGGTCAATGCCAAGGTCTTTGGGTTTGTCCACTTGCTCTTTTGGGTTATGGCAGCTGTAATATTCGTGGAATTCACGCTGTGACGTTTTTTTGGCTGGAGACCACAGATCCCAACATGTTTGGTTTCCAGCCATACGCCCTTTAGTCATTTTAGTGTACCAAGTCAATGTAATTCTTTGCATCTACAAAGGTCTATTTGTTAATATTATTTTTTAATTTAAGATAAAATTATTATCAATAATATTGTTAATTATTTTATTTTCTTTCCTTTTTGGTATGCATCTATTATGATCTGTAGATCACTATTAAAATGAATAATCAATTACTAAAAATTTTAAATAATATAACTATATCAAATTAGAAAGCACCCAGAAAAGAATAAATAGAAGCCTGAAAAAAAAAAAAGGAACTTAATTGTGCAAATAGTTAAGTAGAAGGGCTTGAAATATGGTGGGCTTTGACTGAGCAGGGTCAGGTACCCCCCAAGCTTAAACCATTATGGTCTTGTACAATAAGGCCCTTTTGAGCCCAGCCCAAACTTTATAATTTTCCTTCCCATTAATGTGGACAAAAATGGCCCATGGAAATTTATAACGTCATTCCAAAAAATTATAATGTAATTCCAAAAAAATCATAATTAAATCTCCCTAAAAATTATATTTTTAAATGCAAAAATTATAATTTATAATTTAGACTAATTATTCGACGCCGAAAGAAGAATATAAGATAATTACATGTGGCCCACTGAGCTTGTTCCGAGTCAGATGAAAATCACGTGGTCCAAGACCACCAAATCGGACCATATCAATCCATGTCAGCGAATCAGAAAATCCCGAGATCACATTCTCTGCCACGTGGACGCCATGTCACATTCCAGCCACAGAAGACAAAAAAATCCTGCACAAACCAAAAAGGTACAATGCGCCCCAACGTTATTCTTCTTTATTTACACACCACACACCTCATTGTTCCCTCACGTCCCTACACTTGGCACTCTCCTTCACCATTGAAGCCAGGCTCAGTTCTAGGCCTTGACCTTTGGAATGATTCTTTTACCCCCGACACATCAACTAATCAGCACGCGCTGATACCGATATTTTTTTATGGACTAAATTACGTTCATAGACCCTGCACTCTAGCCTCTTTCACAATGCAGCCCTAAAACTAAAACTTATGTCAATTGAACCCCCTCAATTTTTATGATTTGACTCGATGTTGACCTTCTGTCCTACTATATTAAAACTGATAATTGAACCAAGGACATAAATAAAAAATCATGACCTTTTCTCTCTTTGAACAAAATTTATACTTTCAGCCAAACACCTATTCATAAATCAGCAGTTCTCTTTCAAATTTCAACCACATCCAATAGCATTCATGCAAGGCTTCAACCTTCACTTAAAACATTCAAGAATAAAGCAAAAAAGCTTCAAAAAAAAAAATGAAGAGAAGAAGTATGTCATCAAATATCAAACATGAATTAACAACAATTTCGACATCAAATCTAGTGAATTTACGAAGAAAAAGGAATAACAAAATGAGTTATGAGGAAACTAACATTTTTAGCTTAGACTGAATGCCACTAGATAACTCACCAAAATGAGGAGGAAAAATGTAGCTAGTTAATTAATGTCTAGAAGCTAATTTTAAAGAAAGTTTGCAGGGAAAACGACTATATTGTCATCAAGTGGCATTTTCATGGTGCCTCTCCACATTACTATGGTTACCCTGTTATGTGACTGAAGAGTCTGTTAGATTATTTGACATGGGCTTCTTCGAGATTATTTTATTTGGTTTGCCCTATCATGCGAGACACATTAGCCATTCTTGTGCAATTTAGGAGAATGGTGAGAATGAGGTGAGAGATATGAAGAAGAAGGAAATCGTTATTTAGCAATAAGAATCATACTTTTAAAATCTGGTCTGGACATCAACCCGAGAAATGGACCGGATTAGTGGATCACTGGTTCAACCGCTGGGTCACTGGTCGAATTAGTAATATAATAAAAAAATAAACAAAAATTATTATTATTAATAAATATGCTTAAAAATCACAAAAATTATAAAAATATAATATGCTTAATATATTTTAGATCAAACAAAAATCCCAAAATTATCAAACAGATTCTCAATTAAATAGATAAATCAGTAACAATTAAGCCAAAACTCATGCTCAATTAGGCAGTAAGATTTCATTTCCATCCAACTCTTAATTAAACAAATTAAAACCCCAATTTCATCTCCCTAAATTCCCAATTTCATAATTTTTGGAATTAATAACTAAGCAATGCCCTTAATTTTATATGCAATATCAAGTATCATCAACTAATTTACCATGTTAGTCTACAATACAACCAATACAAAAACAGCAGAGAGAAACAGATGTATCTGTTGAGACTTGAGAGGGCCTGAGGGAGTAAAACAATGGTCTATGAGAAGCAAAACAAGTGAAGAAAATCTCCAATCAATCAGCTGTTGGTGGTGGAGGATTCCGAGAAACAATTATATGATGGTGATAGAGGGATGATTCCTTCGATTCGAGGCTTTGAGCTCGATAGTTTCATTGAGAGAAAGGCTTCAAGTTTGATAGTTACACTAAGTTCAGTGGCTTCGAGCTCGACAGTTACACTGAGAGAAAGGGGCTTCGAGTTCAACAATTAAAATGAGAGAGAGCGAGAGAGAGAGGCGCAAAAGACAAAAGATATGGGTGGTGGCTGGGTGCAAAACGATTAGGGCAAAAAATGCCCAAATAACTCCAAAACCTACTATTTATAGTATTTGAAGCAACCTGTCCGATTTATTTGTTGTCTGATTAGAGGCGCAAGTTTTGTCTGATTCCTTTGCTCAAACGATCCAATAACTAATCCGGCCCGGTTCAGGCTCCGATTCATCGGGTCAACCCGTCGGACTGGACTGGGTTTTAAAACACCGGTAAGAATAGGCTTATTACAAAACAAAGACTAAACCATAGTTTTCCATTTATGCCCTTAGTTCCATTATCATTTTAATAGAATTAGGCGAAAGGACCACATTAAGTCAAATTATAAAATTGACGGTCTCACTTCATACAAATTTTAGTTTAGGGGCTTCATTGAAAACAAATGGCATAGTTTGGGGAAAAATATGTAATTTACTATTTTTTTATTGCAATGGAGACTGCAAGTTGGGGTATCCTTGTTTCTCCTTCCTTTTGAATGGTAAGTTGTTTTAGAGAGAGAAAGTTTGTGACCGCTTTGGGGATGGCGGGGAAAAGCTGTGAGCTGTGTAAGGCTCCGGCGAGGATGTACTGCGAGTCGGACCAGGCGAGTTTATGCTGGGACTGCGATGCCAAGGTTCACTCTGCGAACTTTCTTGTGGCGAGGCATTCAAGGAGTCTTCTGTGCCACGCTTGCCAGTCTCCGACGCCGTGGAATGCTTCCGGTCCGAAAATCGGATCGGCTGTGTCGGTATGTGATAGTTGCGTTGATAACTCCGATGAAATGAAGGGCAGGCACAGGGAGAGCACGGATGAGAGACAAGTAGAAAATCCCTTGATTAATGCAGAAGGTGATGAATACGATGATGAATATGGTAGTGGTGGTGATGATGAGGAGGAGGAGCTTGGTGGAGATGATGATGAGGATGAGGATGGGGATAATCAGGTTGTGCCGTGGTCGTCTACGCCGCCTCCGCCGTCGGCGAGTTCATCGGACTATGAAGAGTCCAATAATAGCGATGGAGTCGTTTCGTTGAAGAGAGGGTGTGAGAATGTTGCAGATCTTCTATCAGATGTATGAACCTTCTTCCATCTTTTTGTCACTCTCATTGCATTGTTCTTCTTCCTAAAAAAAATCAAAAGATCCAAAAATAATTCAGATATTTTCGGCGAATTTTTAGATTTGATTTGGAAATTTTTTAACCTTGAAGTAGTTTCATAAATATCTGAATTCTATTTGTTCTGATTTTTTGAGGCTAAACTGAGAGCTTTTGCTGTTGCCTTAAACAGGATGACGATGACCTCGGCTGTTCATCTTCTCAACGTAATAGCCATACGGCGCCGTCGTCTTCTGCGGCGTTACCGGCTGCGGCTTCCGCCGATGGAGAAAACAACGCCGCACTTGTGGACTCCTGGTCATCGACAAGGCCGTTGAAAATCCGCAAACTTGAGTCAGCCCGGTTGAACCGGGTTCATGATGGGCGGACCGGTTGGAAACCGGCGGCAATAATGGAGTCGCTCCGGAGATTCAATGGGCAAGGCATGAACCCGATCTGCGGCGATCTTAGGAGTCCGATGGCTGAGTAAAGATCCCACCGCCGTTAATTTCGATTCGTCGGAGTTGCCCTAGCCCTTTGGGTATCATGTTGTTAGTCTAATGACTTAGTTACCTATTTACCCTCTAAATTATACTATTTGTGTTAATCAAGGTATTGAATTATATTTTATGTCAATTTAACCCTTAAATTATATAATCTGATTCAGTGTAGGCCTTTTGTTCAAATTCGTCGTTATTTTGAAGAGAAGCTATCATGTGTATATCACATAAATTTTGAAGTATAACTTAATCTCTGACTTGTATTTTTTAATTATTTTAATTTAATCTCTCAACTATCAATTTCGTATCAATAAAATTTTTCTATTCGTTTCCTTGGTTAAAACAAACAAAAACAGTCTCATGTGTTTGTCATCCGGCCGTCTGCCTAGTTCACTATTGTTATATAACACACAATATTAGGCATTAATGGATATTTGTGATAGGTGGTATTATTTTTAATAATATTAAAAAAACAATGACTTTATTACCCTTCTAAACCTACATCTATATTTTTATATAAAAGCTATATACTCTTGCTCTCAATATTTGTTGTCTTTTCAATTTAATACCATGCACTAGTACTTAAACCAAACATAAATTAGATATTATAATTATAGATTTATATCTTATCTCAATCTTGATACAAACTTGTCACACAAAGAATATAATCAAATAATACTCTTATTAATGCCCCACTTATATGAGTTGAATAGGGAGCAACTAGCTAATTATATCCTGTTTGTACTCGAACTAAACAGGTCAGACTCCATGACCACAGAGCGAGCTTGATCTTGGGTCCGGGTTTGATATTGAATTTAAGGTTGAACACAGTTGGTTTATTCAAGCTAGTGGAGTCGAGCATAGCCCGGTTTTGGACCAAAC